ATGTCGTAAAAACTTTAAAGTTTAAAGGCTCATCAAAATGTAATTTGACTTTACAGTAGATATATTATTTTTAAAGGTAGACAAACTTATGAAGAATCTCGTATTAATTTTTCAAATCTTAAATGTTAATAGAAAAATGTTTATGCATTCCTTAAACAAAATAATTTGTTATACTTGTGTAATTAAGCAAGTGCAGAGCACTTTTTGAAAATGGGCTATAATATTGTTCTCACCAAATTTAAAGCATAAGCTACCTACTTATTTCTTAAGAAAAATTTGGAAGTATCTAAATGGTATTTCAACTCAAATATTTAGAGATAGTTTAGTACAGTATGAATGCTATAAAAGCGCAATTTCTGAATTATTTAAAGTCCATCCGATTAGTAACATGATTGACTTTACTAGTTATTGTGTAAAAAGTTGTATGTACTTAACAGTTAACAGGTATTAGATGTACAACCAAAGATAATTACAATGAATAAATACAAAATGAATATTTAAAAGTGAAAAAACCAATGTTTAATACGTACTTTTAAGGGCAATTAAACGTTTGAGTAATAATTCTTCTTCGTCCGTGTTACTTTTATTAGTACTGTAGTAATCATTCACCTCCATCGATCATAAATTCAATCAATAATAAATACAATTAATACGGAACAATATCGGATTAAGACACTATTATAGAAAAAGAGAAATATTAACGACCAACGACATTAATTTGTCATAATAAACTTTGATTCCGTATATTATAATTATTTCCATTCAATTAAATTATTATACTGCCACTAAAGTACTACTACAAGGTTTAAAAGAGTTTGAAGTATGTTTTACAGCCTATGGTGGCATGGAGCATGGGTTATTTCATGAAACGAAATCTACAATCTACTTTTCGTTCAAGGTTTAATATCATTAATATCATATCATTTATATCATCACGAGTTTTGTCATTGTTGTCAGCAGTTTTATCATAAAAGCTGTTACATATTATCACAGAACAAGATAATACAATTTTATTATGTATACCAACATACGGAATTACGGAGTCAAATTTATTGTATTTTTTCTTTTTTCAATAACAATAATTATAAGTATTTTAATACTACTATATAGATTATAATATTATAATGTACTTACTTATTACAGTTTATAAACGTTCAAATTATTATAAAAAATATTGAATATTGAATTATTTAGCAAACACTTTAAAGTTCAAACACTCGAACTTTTTAGTGCGGTGTCATGTTTACTTATCTTTTGATAAATTGCCTATACAAACCCCTTACAGTAGGCTTTTCGAGTAATTTTGAAAAATATTATTATTTTACTACTACAGCAGAAAGCTGTAAATAATTATTAAGCCGCAAAGTGTTGGATCTATTAAGTTATATAACTGATTCAAGGGTCATATTCTACCACTGAGCTCAAATAAAAATGGAAAGCTCATCAAGGAAATTTTGATTTATTTACAAATTTACTATCAATGTTTTAACGGAAACAACTTTTATGAGTTTTATATTCGATGGACCAAAAAATTGAGTTGTTAAAAATTTGTTATATTAACACAAATCGTTTTTGGGAATAATATAATAATTTAAATTCAATTATATTGATGAATGGTAAAGCCTCTGGTCTAATTGCAATAATAACAAGCTTAGAGAAATAAAGCAAACAATATTACCATATGGCCCAAACCATACGAGATGACCAGAAGGGTCATCAACACCTTCCCAGAAAAACCATAATTTTCCTAACACAAATTTATAATGCTATGCTTCGTCTATCATACTTTCCTATATTATGGAAATACTCATAATACTCATACCAAAACCAAAAAAAAACCCTTGCTGTCCTTCCTCATATAGGCCTCGCTGCCAACTCTCTCCAAACTATTTGAAAAACTCCTTCTCAAACGAATACTACCAATAGTTGATGAAGACAAAATTCTACCTGACTCTCAATTCGGTTTTCGCAACAGTCACTCAACGATCCATCAGGTCCATCGTCTGGTTGACAAAATTTCTTTTGCCCTGGAGGAAAAATTATACTGCACTGGTGCTTTCCTTGACGTCTCTCAAGCTTTTGATAGAGTCTGGCACTCAGGCCTCCTCTATAAATTAAAACTTGTCCTTCCTGGTCACTACTATCTGATCCTCAAATCCTACCCCGAAGATCGATTCTTTTCCGTACGCGTAGGTTCTTCTTTTTTCTCTCCTACTGAAATAAAAGCAGGCGTACCACAAGGCACAGTAATTGCTCCCCTACTCTTCAATCTCTACATCTCTGACCAGCCTACTTCGCCCCATACTTTAGTCGGTGATTTCGCTGACGACAAAGCCATATAACAACCAGTCCTGATCCTGTTTTAGCCTCCTCCTACAGACAAGATCATCTCAACTCAGTTGAATCGTGGTACAAATATGGGGAGTAAAAATGAATGAAACCAAATCCATTCATGGTACCTTTGCACTTCGTCAAGGAGTATGCCCAACACTTTACCTCAATAATCAACCACTTCCTCCTTCACAGTGTATACGTTACCTTGGTATTCTTATTGACCGCCGCCTCACCTGGAAACCTCACATAATTAGCAAAACCCGTACACTTAATGACCGCTTCAGACTCCTTAGACCACTTCTAACATCAAAGCACATGAAACTATCCAACGAGCTCCTACTTTACAAACTCCTACTCAGACCTATCTGGACTTATGGGATTCAACTATGGGGCGCTGCCAAAATTTCCAACATCAACCGCATTCAAAGATTCCAATCCAAAACTCTACGTACAATTCTAAAAGCACCATTCTATGTCTCTAACCAGACCCTCCACTCTGATCTCAAAATACCATTTGTCTCTGAACTAACTAAAACTCACTAAAAACGTTTCAATAGCCGCCTAGCTAACCATAAGAATCCCTTAATCTCCGATCTATCATCTGCTTCCATCCCAGGTAACCCAATTAAAAGATTTAAAAGACAGTGGTGTCGTGACCTGCTAGCCTAATTAAAATCATACTCATGTCATAGTACCTCCGCTGGGAGGCCTCTGCACTCCGTCCGGTCTGTCTTTTTATTTTATTTTATTTTATTTTTATTTTATTCTTTTACTAAACATCAATTGTTCTTATTGTTCTTACTGTAACAGATTGAATAAAAAACACACGAATCAAAAAAAAAAAAAATACAGAGATATCATATAAACGGAGATGTCTGGTTTTACTTTGGTGCAACAACAAGACATCTCCTAATTTTTCTTATTATAATGGAGATGTCTGGTTTTGATTTTAGTCAACAAGACATCTCCAAGTATTTAATTATGGTTCAACAACAAGATATGTCCACACAAGTTTTTATTGCTTCCTTAACTTATTATTAAAATTTAAGTAGTATCTTTAAGTACATACATTGTATGTAATCTAAAACTAACTTCTAAAATTTTTAAAAAAATTTTTAGATTTTTTTTTGGAATTTACAATGTTTTTTTTTTGTCTATTGAACAATTTCAAAAAAAGGATATGTCCGATTGTTGCCCCCAGGTCTTCAATTGACAAATCATTGATTTTTAATGTATGGATACAACTTTCCTACTTCACATTTCCTCCACACTTTAAGACCAACATAACTGAAAGAAACGAAGGACCTAGCTTGCACAGAAGCTTCTGAATGATGAAACTAACATTTAAACGAGACTACAAGAGAGAAAAAGTTGTAACGATGTCATAGATCTTATACGTTTGTTCTTTGCTTGTACTAGTATAAGGTCTATTGAACGATGTATTAATTAATACATAATTATATTGTATTAGTTATTTTTATCTACCCAGTTGAAGACTGATATCGTTATGTAGGGTTTTCAGATGTTTAATGTTTATTGTTTATATACAATGTCGCATGACGTTGAGAATAACTTAAATACTTAATACATATAAATAAAATATTATTTAATATCAATTATCAATGATGATTGATGACCATCGAGGTATATAAACTATAGTTGATATACCTCGATGTTGATGACTATTGATTACAATAATTTATTATTCATATCATTATTAAAGATTACCTATAGACGTGACTTATATTATAAAATAATCAACAGTAATATTATTAATTCCACTTAACTGTGCTATAAACGGTCAATAACATTTTATTGATGTAATAAAATTGGATCTCACAGTGAGTCGGTCTCTCAGTCACACAGTATGACTCACAATAATCAATAATCTACAAAATATTCTAATATTAATATATTATACAAAAATATATAATATTTACTTCAAATTGAACAATATTATATTGAAAAAGGATATATAATATATTATGTATTATGTGCGTGTTCTGTATATTGTGTACCAATGGCGCGGCGTCTCATTCCGCCAAAGTCCATTTCCTCAATCGTTGGCAACAGTGTTTCCCTTCGATGGCGCCGTTCGTTGTTACTCCATGGATATCACGGATATTTCGTCATTGCGTATTCTCTTTTATATTTTCTCTCCCCCACTTACTAGATCACCACAGTGCCACACAACCCACACTCTATGTCTCTATGGCCCAATAAGCCCACACTCTCACTCCGTCTCTACCGCGGTCTGTTCCGTTTCGCCTTTTTTCGATGCGTTTCTGCTGAGTTCGTATGAATTCGTTTCTCGAATTTTCGGCGTCTTCAAATCGTAAGTGTCGCTAAACGTCCGCAGAACGATGATCAAACAACGGTAATAACGCAGAACAGCCGTACAGCCGATACAAAATAATAATCTCGAGCTCTGTTCGCTAGCCTATTTCATTGTGCAGGCACATTATCATCGTATTGATTAAACACCGTCGGAGCATATTATTACTATCTAGGTGATTACGCCGTGCGCCTTATAATAAATTACTTACTGCAGCCTGTGCTCTATGGGTTTATTTTATTAATTTGTGATATCATCGACTCGTCAACGTTTTTGTTAAAACTTTTTTTCGCATTCCAGGACCACCGGGAGTACGACCGCGAACGCCAAAATGATTAATCTGACAATAAAGACGTTGGATTCACAGAATCACAGATTTCGTGTTCCGGACACTGTAAGTCACTATGTTGTTACCCCATAAATTGTTGTTTTTGTTGCTTGTTAGATATTCTATTGTTCGTATTTATTATTATTACAAGTTTACTATACTGGAACTCAAAGAGCACATCGCGGCACAAGTGAACGTTGCAGTTGTCCACCAGCGATTGATATTTTGTGGTCGTGTCTTGAGCAATGAAACCAAACTTGCTGATATTGGTAAGATATTTTTCTATTTTTGATCATAGATTTTGTTATCTTGTGTGATTATTAAATACTTAGCTGAATATTATAGGTGTGATAAGTTGTGTTATTAAATTGATTTTTATATTTAATAGGCTTCAGATGAGCTTACTGTATCAATATTTAAATATTCAAATTGTTATATGATATATTTACTGTATGAAATACTATTTTTTGGTGTTTAAAAACGTTATGAAATTTTACGTTTTTTTTGATATATATTTTTGTTTTTTAAATAAGATTTTCATTTATCGTTTAATGACCTTTATATTCTCAAATTTATATTTGCATTTTTTGTTAACGTTTTGTTTTTTAGAAAATGTTAAAAAAAGTATCTTAAGAAGATACTACACCTGCATGCATTGTCTCCGTCTTACAAATGCAAAAAAAACTGTTTTGTGCGGGACAACTATGCTTTCTCTGTTGTATTTATAGTAGAATTTCCAAAATTCCGCAACACATAGGGAAGAACTTTATCTGTGTCGTAGCTTTTATATTATTTGGATAACATAAATACAATTAAAGTTACAGAGGGAGTATAGTTGTCCTGTGCAAAAATAGTTTTTGCTATATTGTACATTTGTAAGACGGATACAACGGATAATATATACAACGTCTTAAAACCATTTAAAATTTTTTAAATTCATGCTATTAATATCCATATATAGTAATCTAAACTTGATTACCAGTTCTCACTATAGTGTCCTATTAAGAGTATAGCTAAGTAGGTACTTTTCAGTTATCGCGACAACCAATCATAAGTAAATTAGTAAACCCAGGGTATTTCTCTAACAGGGATTTTGAGATTTTATTTATTTTTTATTTATAAATGGTTGCTATTGGTTTTATTTAGTTTTAATAATGCGAAAAGCCTGTATTTTAGTACAGAATGTATCAATTTTGAACCAAGGTTTGGGTCAACCAATTTTTTTTTCATTTTTTGATACTTAAGAGTTAACTTATACTCTTATGTACGCATCACGTGGGTTCTGCGATCTACCGCAGGTAGAGTACCTACTTTATGATTTACTGCTTCCATAATCATAAAAACCTAGGTATAACAACTCATTGCCGTGTCTGCTAGCATAATATAGTATAGTATAAAAAAAATATACATTTAAATGCATTATGGATTTATTGAGTTTCAAATGAAATTATGGAATAGATTAAACCATGCTGGTAGCCAAAGCCTTGATTTATTTTTTTAGTATTGTGTTCGTCTAAATTAATTACTAGTTAAGTTAAAATTAAGAAACATATTGTATATAAAACTTGGTTTAAAAAAAAAATGCATTGTGGAATTTTAACTTGAAACGGAATGTATATATTTTAATTTATTTGGTATTTAAAATATGAAGTATGCTCCAATTACTTTACTAAAGTCAAACACTCATATTTTAGTCTATAAATTCATTATAAGGCCGGCCCAATCTTCAATTGTTTGTTTGTCATAATTTAAAAAAATATGTGTTACCCATTGCAATTATAAAATGATAAGGAATTGAATGAATAGAATTATTATTTGTTAATTTATGTAATGTATAACAAAATAATTAAGTGTTCTTAACATTTTTTATTTTTACACATATTGAAACTGTAAATTAAATGAACAATAGTAGATAACTTTACCTTAGAACCCTGGTTACATGCATCCATTAGTTTCAATTAGTTTGAATCATATTGAATCAATGAAAATTAAGCTGAACAATACACATGCTTAACTAAAACTATATTTATTTAATATGCTTCCACTAGGTTAGGTTTACATGCACATTCGTCAAATCGATTTACCTCAATTATTCTTTGCCTTTTTTATTCAGTTGTAATAGTAAATCTTGTACTGTTATGTGAATTAACTAAACCATTTTAACTGAGCTGGATTTATATTAAAACTGAATTAACTTCGGAAGTATCTAAAGTAATTTATCTTTTTTGTGTTCCATTTATAATGCAGTAGAATAATTGTTATATTGCTGACTTCCTCTTAATACCTTTAAAATTAATATTACTTACACATAATTACATATTTTCCCCTATTCCAAATATCAAACAATATTTAGATAATATTTTAGAGTATGTTTCTATTTTCTGTTTTGTCATTTAATTGGTGTTGAAAGATAGATATAATTGGTATCTATGAATCATTGAATACAATTTAAGATTATTCAGGGAAATCAGATAATATTTGCTTATCAAATAAACATTTAGATTAAAAATTATTTTATGACTTCAGAATTAAGTCACTTATCAAAGTTGTATAATGATACTTGCACGAATGTAATTATGTATTCATTTTTTAATATGAATATTATAACAAAATATTTTTCTAATAGGTATTGATGGAAAAGTTATGCATCTTGTGCAGAAACTTCCTCGTTTGTCAACAACTACATCTGGATCATCATCATCTACAACAACTAATACTACTAGTCGTTCTGGGCAAAATTCAGGACCTGGATTTAGAGGATGGCATACACACGATCCTACTGTTTTATTCGGTGCCATTGGTATACCTTCAGAGTTGATGCATGCTGGAGGTAATGTACATATTTATATGCTGGTTGTATATAATACTTGTATCTACATTCATTTTTCCTTAAAAATGTTTCGTCATGTATGATCTAACATGATTTTGAATACTAGAATGCTCTAGAATAATGCATTCAAAGTACATAATTCAATTAATTTTGGTAACAAAAACTTTATAAGTGAAAGTTTTATTTTGCATTTTTGCTGTTTTAGAATTTTTGTATCCCATGTTATTTATGTACATATTTTACAAGTTTTTAGTGTACATCAGTGTTTCAGTGTCATCTTAAAATAAAATAATAATACTATATTCCAGCTGGTGAGAAAATGCTACTCCTTCTCACATCCAAATGGACGAACTCCTCAGTTACGTGCATACATTTTTCCTACTCTATTACCTACTTGCTGTTGTAAATTATCCCACTCACGGCGATGATGGCTAGCATTCGGGTTGATATAGTGCAGTGGCGACTCGTGGTGTACACAATATTAACTAACAAGCATTTACTAAGATGTAACATTTTTACTGGTTTAAAATAATGTATCTTATTAATAATATTATGCAAGTCATTTAATTATCCTAACTTAATTATAAAAATAATAAAATATATATACATCAAATAAAATCGACCATTTGATACAGAAATCAGATTACAAATAGATAAACCTCAAAATTAATCGTAGATTACGTTTTTTTTTTAATCGGTTTACAGTAGTAACTGCTCACCGAGTTGCATTGTATTTAGCGATCCCCCCACTTATCAACCGAACGTATTTTAAACAGGCGTGCGGTGCTGTCACAGTGTTGCGCACCGATTGGTGTGTGCATTTTGCATAACTGTTTTTACTTTAGGAACAACAATATGTTCACGACATAATAGTTCTTTTCCGAAAAATATTGTTAAATGATTTTTTTTAATAACACCGATATTTAAAAAAAAAACAATTTACAACAGTTAGTTTTAAAAAAATAAAAAATATTATTTTGATAAAATGACATGTGATGCGCTTGCGCACAAGCCGCCACTGACACAGTGGTAGGAATGTGTGAGATGGGACGAGTTTTGGGCGCAGCTAAGTGGGAGCCGGAGCATAGGATACAGTGCCATCTTATCTTAAAATAATAACCTCACCTAACCCTTTTTATTAAATTAAAGTTATACTGAATAGGTAACTTTTATAATTATACAAGAGAAAACTGATTCGTCTAACATAAGTCAATAAACTACAGAGATATATTTAATCCCTCAATACATTTCTTTTGTGTATATTTTTGAAATTTTTATTTTGTAGTGTACATATTAAAAGATTTACCTCATTAAATAATTATTAATACTATTACAAAATAGTATTGAATTAGTTAAAATTAAAAATTAAAAAAACTTCATCAATAACCAACTACCAAAATTAGTAATTTACAATGTTTTGTGATACCTATATTATGTTAAAATTCTAATATATAATTTCATATAGGTCAGTGGTTCTCAATCAGTGTGCCATGAACTGGCCTTAGATATGCTGCAAAATTAATGAAAATATAAAGAATTCATACATATTATAGTGTGAAGGGTGTCTCAGGATTTTTATAAAACACCCAATGTTTAGTTTAAGAACCGAGAACTTATATGGTTTATTTATAAATCACTTATAATATATTATTTGTAGATGATTTTTCAAAGATTTTTAAGTCAAATATTATTTTATTGTATTACATGTTTTATTGTATAAACTGGTGTTCGATTAAAAATTAATTATGTCCTTATCTTATAAGTTATTTGTATAATTTATTTTAGAATTGCCACGTCTTATAAGTACTAGAAATCATGGGACTGGTAACAGAGTATCATTGGCTTTGGATATGATACGCAGAGGCAATGAAATATTAAATAGACTCGAAAATCCAGGACCCATTCGAGCCAATCGACCACAATCCTCTGCTTCTAATGCAGAACAATTGCCAGAAGGGTCACATCAGGCAGAAGCTACAACCCTAAGTGTACCACCAGAAGGCGTAGGAGCACCAGAATCGTCTGCTTCAGAATCATCTGCACCACCATCACAAGCAGACCCAGATTCAGTGAATGTGTATGATTAAAAATTATTTATTTTAAAATAATATGATTAAATATTTCTTAGATTTTTATTTATTGACTATAATGATATATTATTTTAATAGGAGCTATGAAGTCGATGAAACATTCCCAAATACTGTTGTTGTTACTATTGATGCTACACATCACATGAGAATGCCTCCGGGATTAATGCGTCAAGTTCATAATCACATGCAAGCAAATAATCTATTTCCAATTCATCAAAATGCAACTGAAACATGTAAGCCCTTCACAGAATTTTTAAATTTATTTTGGTTACAACTTACAATTACTCAGTTTTTAAGCATTTAATTACAAACAACATATTTTATATATATTTTTTTTTTTTTCATCAAATATGTTATTGCAAATGGTTTTTAGAATTTATTCATTATGTATTTTTGTGATCTGGTGAGTTATTATTGGGAGTAGTTTAATTGAGGTTGAAATATGTGGTTTTTTTGTTGTATTGTTTGATTTAGTAAAATATGTACTTAATAGTTAACAATTTTGTACAGAGTTAGATAGTTATATTATCTTAATAATACTCTTTTTAGCTGCTGAAAGTGAAGTTTTAAATGTTCCTGAAAATGTTCCAGTTGGAGGATCCACTAACCAATCTTCAGCTGAACAGGCTACTGGAACTTTACCATCTTCTACATCATCTGAACAAAATTTAAGGTTTGACCAATAATAATGTGCTTATTTGTTACATAGTTAAAGAAATAAATATTAATTTTTAATTACACATAATAAGGAATGATCGTCAAACTTCAGAAAGTAGATCTACAGTTGCTTTAAATGACAGACGGCGTTTAAGAGAACTAATTGAAGAATTGAATAAATTAAATGAAAGACTTCGGCCATTTTATGCTATGTATTGCCAATTTATTGGAGATGATCCACAATTTGATACTATAGAAGTATGATAATTAAAGTTTTTGAAGTATTACACATGAAATATTTTATTTATTTTAACATTAAAACTGATAAATTTCCTCTTATATTATTATATTTTTATAAATATGAATCTTGCTTAAATTATAGGGAGAACATGGATCACTTAGAGCACAAACGGTTTTCAATGGTGTGTCTGAAGTGATGCATTTTATATCACATGTTTATCATGCAATAAGTGATTTAAGAGTTTCATTTAGCAGACCACCACCACGTTCTTTCCAATCTCGTCCTTGTTTGCTACAAGGTACTATTTTGCACGCTGCTCATTCAGTTACAACTACTTCTACAGCTGCACCCCCGTCTACTCAACAACCTACTTCTACCCAAACAACCACCACAAGTCAATCTATACCAAGTGTACGAGCTTTTAGACTTGATTGTAAGTTACATTTTGTTTTAATTCTTTCTGAGGATAAGCTAAGTATTATACCTATTGTTTTGAATCCAGATGGAGGGGGAAATGTAACTCCTAATGTGGTGTCCACTTCAGCTACTGAAACAAATACAAACACAAACATGTCAGTTGATCCAAATACTGAAACTAATAATACATCTACAGATTTCCCGCCTGAGACTCCTCAAGGAGTAGAACTTATGTTTGATCTTGCACCAGGGTCTATTCGCATAGATTCTGTAGAAGCTGCATTTATTAACCCAACGGCCCCTGCGACAACAGGCTTACCTGCTGCTGTTTCTCGTTCGTATAGAATATGGTATTTTAAAAATCAAAATAATAATAATATATTTTTTTAGAACCAATACAACTATCTGCTACTATTGCTGATCAAGGAGGAATGCCTATTGACTGGATGGATCAGATGATTGATGTAATTTCTAGTGGAGTGCGACGTCCTTTCATGTCTGAACAATCTTTGGATTGGAATAGTATACCTACTACTTCTACTCGAACTCCACGTGTAACTCCTAGGACAACTGATTCATCGTCGACAACAAATCCTCCATCACAAGGTAGTACATTTAATTAAGTTATATTAATTGGAGTAATATAGTTCAAAACATGTAAAACATAACCTAACCGGTATTAATTATTACCAATATTTTTTTGAACCTCCTATGAAATATTTCAGACTGATGTTTATTTTAATATTGATTAAGGACTTAAAAAAAAAAGCTATTATTTTTTATTTTAAATATTAATAGATATCTTTATTACCTAATTGAATAATAAATATATACACAGGGGTGAAAGTGGTAACAGGGGGACTCAGTCTCCCTTTTTATGACGGCGGTTAAAAAACGTCCCCTTTAACTATTCAGGGTTAAAGTGGAATGAGTATGCTTACACTATCACCGTTTATTCATTACATTTTCATTAAAAATTATATATGGAACACTTAAAACTATATGCAGACATATTAGTCCCTCTAGAATTTTTCCCCACTTTAAGCTCTGTATATACATCAGTGGCGTGTTTAAGCTTATCATGGGGGAAGGGATATGATTTTATCCACTAGACCCGCTTTTAAAGATAGATGCCTTAAGTTAAGACTTTGAAAATTTTTGCATATTATATACAGCCTATGGGGGGATTGATCCCCTTGATCCTCCCCCCCCCCAATATCCCACCAATATACATAATGTAATATATTTTGTTATAGGCTTAGCTCGTGGACGCTGGGATTCTACCCCTCGTATGGATCCATTTTTACCATGCAGTTCACATCATTTTGAATCAAATTTAAGACCAATGGTATTAGCTAGGCGTTCTGCTCAAGGAACTGACAGATCCACATCTTCTGCCACTAGTGGAAACTCAACTACAGATACTTCTTCTCCAAGTTCTCCTAATGAAGTAAGATCTTTTACTAGTCGACGTCCAGGTCGATCAAGAACTCGTTATGTGCAAGAATCTGATGGATTGATGTCTGGTATACATCCAATTCTGACTTGGGGAAGACAGCGTAACAACACAGCTACAACATCTGCAAATAATACTGCTCAGGCTACTGGACAGGGTACTAGTTTAACTGATGCATTAGCTGGACAAATAAGTAATTTTCCTTATGTATTTTTATTTTACTTTCATTGTACTTTTTTTAGTCTAGATTAATAAAATTATATCATATTTTTAGAATGAAAAAAAAAATATTTATATATACTATATAGTAATATAATATTCATATTTTTCTGTATTTAAAATTTATCCCAATATCATAAAAGTATGGTTAATCTATGCGTTTAATAGTTTTATGATAATTTTATACTAAAGTAATGTGTTTAAATGAAAAAAATGATCAATTTTAATTTAAATTAATTAATTAAATATTATTTTATTATTATATTTCTTATTTACAAGTCTGACTTATTTCAGGAGTTGGAATGGAAAGTGTTTTTGATACATTTGAAAGAGAAGTAGATTTTGATAGAACCAGAGACTTAAATTTGCCTCCTGCAAGTAGTTCAGTACTAGTAAGTAGACATTTATAATGTGACTTTCTCTTAAGAATTAGTTATATCATTGATTATAAATATTTATGTTATATACATTTTATTAGCAACCAAATAATATAGGATAATTTGAGACTGTATCATTTATATGTTCTAGAGCATTTTATTCTAATTACTCAATTTATTTATTTTTCTGTATTCATTTCTGAGATGGTTAGCAGCAATTCTTCACTCTTCTCTGTTATTTTCCTTCCTTTTAATGTTGTATACATCCTTAACATTCTTATCTAGTAACATCCTTCATCCATTACCATTTGTTTTTACTAATAATCCAATTAAAAGCCCACACCGCCTTGGAAGAACGTAAAACCCCACAGCTTTGTCAAATTATTCTGTGACTATTTGATTGGTCTCCGTGTCTTGCTACAGTGACAGAAACAGTCTATAGTGTGATATGCATGCGTGAATTTGAACTGTTTTTATCGGCCTCCCAGTACGCTCTTATTTGGAATAGAGTAAAATAAAACTAATCCAAGCAATCCTCCGTCTTGGTTGATGGCCAATTCATTAATTTATTGTATATAATATTTTGCCTATAGAGATCTTCCTTCTAATATTTTTTTCCGATACATTATTCATTTATCTCCAAATCTAGATTATTCTCTAGCACCACATCTCAAAAGATTATTCTTATTTATTGTTTTTACAGTTATTTAGAAAACATTAATAAATTTAATATCCCCCCAAAAAAACACTCAAATGCAACAACTTCTGAGCCCTACTTATAACATAATAATGCTCATGAAATGTTTTTTATTTTGCTTTTAATTTAATGGTTTTTTTGTTTTTAACTAAAATGTTTGAGTATGAGTATATTAATGTTGGCTTTTCATTTTATTTTAAATAGGGTTATGATCATACAATGAGTACATCCACCTCTCAATTAACTCCACGTTTACCAAATGGATTGCTGACAACCCCTATTGGAGAAATACCATACTTTAGAAGTTTAGAGGGTCAATCTGGGTCAATGTTGGTAGACTTTTTCATAATGATTTCCCGTAACTGGACCCTACGTGACATGTTCAGTGTGGATTTAACTCGCACTTCAACTCTTAGAACTTATCCACTTTCTACACATTCTGAAGAAATAGTAAATTTCATAATCCATAGAATTATGCTGAATCGACCACCAAGCCCTCACAACATCGAAGATGCTGCAAATCGCTTATTTTTAGAAATTGTGCCATATACAAATATTTTGGTAAGTAAAATGCATATTAATTAATAATTACTGTACAACTCATTTTAAGATGCAATTAAATCAATTTTTTATTTTTGAATGCATTAGCAATGTACTGTGCCACAAAATACAAATATTAATGTGAATGCATCTTTCCGGCGATGTATTCTTCAAAATCTACGTGGAATGGTTATCTCCTTTGGTGAAAGTAAGTTTTTTGTTTGGTGTTTAATTTTTAACATAGTTTTTATTGTATTCAATTATGTGAAAATTGGTATTAATTTCTTGGTTTTAAATCAAGTAAGTATGGTAATTGAAATGAAAAAAGTATGAATTTTGAAAACTTCAAGAATTTGTGTTATATAGGAAAATAATAAAAATGTAACTCAATAATGACGAGTAGGTGAGTAATTTAGCTAGCTTAAATATAAAATATTAATGAGAGAGATTTCAGATTTGATATCACACCCAAGCGGTATAACCAATTGAATCCATAAAAATTTCTACTTGAACAGTCCCAACATCTCTATTTTTTTAACTTTTCTCCTAAACTATTATAGCTAGAAAGTTGGTTGATAACTCAATAAAAAAAGATTATCAAGTAGATACTAAATATGGAATTAATATATTTTGCTAGATTTTCATTTAGAAAGGGAGATTTCCAAAACTCGAGAACGGATTTTGTTGTTTGGGGTCTTGTTAAATTCACATTGGCTAGGACAAGTGCAGTGAAGATTTCTTAACTTTATCTTGAATCGTTAATTCACTACAAAGCTGAAAACCATAAAAAAAAATAAAATTTGTTTTAATTTTTTTATGTTCTGTAGTGAATTAACATTAAAGATAAAGTTCTGAAAATCTTCACTGCTCTTCTCCTAACCAATGTGAATCTAACAAGACCCCAAACAACAAAATCCGCTTTCCTGTTTTGGAGATCTATCTCACTAAATGAAAATGAAAATGATTTTTTGTGGGGCTGTTCATACCGAAATTTTTCTGGATCCAAATTTTTATGCCATTTGGGTGTGATATCAGTTAATAAATAAATTTCTATAAATTAAAAATCAAAAAAGTTTACATGTCGATTCCTAACTTGGCAATAATTTTTTTTCTTGTTAAAGTTGTTTGCATCACACAATAATTACTATGACTTCTTATTGATGTTCCTCAATCATAGTGATTTAAAAATGTAAGAGTAAATAATTAAGTTAACATGTTGACTCCCATATAGTTGCCAGCGGTCATTTTAATTTTCAAATTTTATACTTTTGCAACCAACAGCGATCATAGACCATAGTTGATCATTACTACCACACCTCATGACTTCCAGCGACAGTAAATTAATGTAGTTATATGGTTTTTTATTATTAAACTTTATGTAGTTTTACTTACTTTAACACTTTCACGCAGAACAATATTATCATCTGTTTAAATATTAGTATTAGGTACCTACAGTAAAAATATGTAAAATTTATTGTCAGGCAAAAGTAGTGTTGGGCAAACATATCAGACCCGTGAGGCGATATTACAATAATCCATATAAATCTGGGTTTTTCAAAAAGAATATAACTAAACATAGGCATATAATATCTTTACATTGCTATCCCTCCCGCACACATGTTGGCTAAAGAGGACGCCACTCCCGCATGTGTTGTCTTTGCATTCAAGTGTGTAACAGAAAATGTATGCTCGGTAGATCATGTTTATCTCCGTTAAGAGGACGCCACACCCTCATGTGTTGTCTCCGTCTTACAAATGTACAACATAGCAAAAACTCTTTTGCGAGGGACAACTTTTCTCGCACCATATTTGTTGTAGAACTACCAAATTTTCACAGCACTTAAAGAAGAACTTTATCCGTGCAACAGCGTGCTCTTTTTTTCAATAGCACCATCCAATCATTTTTTATAAGCAAATTAAAAAACCAAATGTTTAGAAGCAAATAACTTGTATTGTATATATGTTATTGAAAAAAAAGAGCACGCTGTTGCACAGATAAAGTTCTTCTTTAAGTGCTGTGAAAATTTGGTAGTTCTACAACAAATATGGTGCGAGAAAAGAGTTTTTGCTATGTTGTACATTTGTAAGACGGAGACAACACATGCGGGTGTGGCGTCCTCTTAATTTAAAAATGAAAGTGAATTGCTTTATTATGAAACTTGATGGTAAGACCATTATCTGTGTTTGTATGTTGGTTTTTTATGATGGTTACATTTTTTAGTAAGTTATGTGTGTGTAAAATAGCGTAAATTAAAAATTCTCACAATTCTTAAAAACTGAATAATGATATAACAATATGAATTTATAATGATGATGTCTCCAAATAGCCTCAACTCTATCTATCATTTGTAAATAAAATTGTATTGGTTTAAGATAGAATGATTGCACGTTAAACAATATTTGCCATGTTACATACTTGTAAGACATAGACAACAAATATCCGTGTAACGTCCTCTTAATATGAAATAAAGATAAAAAAAATAATATAAACTTGCTTCAAAACAATATGTAGCTCTTATTTTATGCAATATCACTGTACGTGTTGTATAAATATGTGTTTTAGATCGACCGGCAGCAATGAATAATATTGCGCATACATTGTCCATATTTGCTGAAGGATTTTTATCATTGATAGTTTATTGCTGTGACAGCCGCCCTATATTTCGGCTATGTGTTTCCGCAGTAATGGTAATTATTAATATTCTTATTTTAAAATATAGTCAGTAATCATTTTCAAAATAATTTTAGCAAAACTTGCCACTTCCTACGAATTTAAACATTCTAGTAATGGAGGGATTACGTGCAAATATTGACTATTACTGGGAAAGAATGACCTCTTTCCAAATGATGAGTTTATCTGTAGTTGAGTATATTGTACCATTTGATGAAGCAGCTCTAAGAGCATTAAGTGCGGTCAGTATTGAGACTTATTGTGTATTTGAAAATTATTGAAATCGGAAATAGTGTAAACTTATAATTTTTATTCTATAGACTGATGGAGAACAATCTTCCAATCCTTCTATGCCTTCTTCCGAAAACATCAATGAACCGTTACCCGAAGTTGTTATCGGATCTCAAGATTGGCATCACAATGTTCCTTCTGTGAGTTTATAAACTAAATATTTTGGTACAAAAAAATAAATATTTATGGGAGGTTACTAATTTACAGGAATGGGTACCAGTCATAGCTAGAGATTCACAACGTCAAAGACGTCAAGGAACTCAGCCACCTTATAGTGATGCATATTTATCTGGTATGCCTAACAAACGCAGGAAGATAGTGACAAGTTCTAAGCCTCAAGGGTCTTTATCTCAAATAATAGCTAGTGAGTTGATTTATTACATATATTAAAAGTGTATGCTCTATTCTAGTTAAGTTTGTCCACTCTACCGTCAAAAACTGGTGGTTTTCAAGCATCTTCTCCCATAAATGTTCTATAATGGTACTGATTACGAGCCTTGGTGTTGAATTTCATGACACCATATGGAGATATTATGCAGTGTTGTTTTCGTAAAAAATCTATAGAGTATACGCTAATTTATGAACTTAATTCAATGATACAAATATGGCATATGCAATGAATTTATAAAAATAAAACTAATTAGATTTCAAAAAGTAGCTCACTTTGTAGGCTCTTACGTAATATATTTTATACACTCATAAACTTTACAAAAACATATATTTTTATCTATTGGCGACTGCTAAACATAAATACGCACTCTGGTGGATTTTAGTGCAAAGACTCCATGAGGTAATATCGCGGAATGTACTGAGGGCTTTGAGGTGACCCTCCATAAACTGTCCTGCTATAACTAATAACTTTTTACTATAAACTATAAATAGGTTATCATTTGTTTTTGTTATATTTTAGATTTGATATCAATGATAATAATAACTCATACCCATCATACAATATCTAAATTACTAAAAAGCAATAAGGCATTTCAAATTAAAGCATAGCCATTATCAAAATTACAAAATTAACCAATTTTACCAATCTAACTTTAGAATTTCTTTGAGCAAGCGATTACAGCCATAAACATAACAAAATTGTTCATATTTATTTTATTTTTTTAGAATAAATGTTGAGTGTAAAATAGTATGAAAGTCCATTGTTAATAGTATATTATGTGTTGTCTAATTTTGGATTCTGAGTGGAACGATGAATGTATTGATTTTACAATGATGTGTGTTTTTATATTTTTTTTTTTTTGTGTCTGTGTACACGATAGTAGTTGAAATAATTAGTGATGTGGATTTTACGTAAAAAAATTTTATGGTAATTTACCGTGTAAATTTACCAAATTTACGGTAAAATTGGTAAATTTTTATTAAAATTCAAATTATAGCGTACCTGTTGAATTTTTTCACAATATAATGTAAAGAAGGCAAGATAAATATAAAATAAAATAAAGTATTAGTATTTAATCCCTTTATTAATAATAACAATTTATAATTATTAATTTATCATAGTAAAATATAAAATAAAAATAATTTTAATCTGTTTCAAAAAAAAATTAAAAAATTAAAAACAACTTATAGTATAATGAAAACTACGTAACTGTCGTTTTCATTTTATAAAAATCCTAATTAGTAATTTTTATTATAATCCTAATATCTTGATAAAAAATACAAAGACATACAAATAAAGTGGTCACTCAACTGTTTGTTTGGTAAAAAAAAAGTAAATTGTTTTTTGTAAATTTACGAGACTCACATCACTAGAAATAATGCTTCGATTTTCGACTTGTTCGATTGGAAAGTCGAAAATCGTTGGTGCACGAAGGAGGTCAAAATTTAAAATTCCCAGTACTTTTCAAAAGCGCCAAGAAAAACAAAAGAAAAATTAAGGAAAAACGGGAATTTTTACGCAAAATCGATTTTTCAGAAAATTGAATTTGGTTTTTGGTGTAACTTTAAAACAAATGACCATAGATACATGACATTTTCACTGGTTGTTTATATTTGCATTTTCTATACACGATAACATTTTCAAAATATTTTGATTTATTTTGAACTGTTTAGGTACATTTTCTTTTTTCATTTTTTTTTCTAAAAGTATCAATAAAATTGTATTTGATGGTTAAAAAAGCTTGAAATTTTAATATAAGGCTCCTAGTATATTGTTTCAAAGGCAGATGAAAAATATTAAAAATCTCTAGTCACAATTTCTTTTTTATAAGCATTTAAAGTTCAAATATTGACAAAATATGGAAAAATCACGAAAATTAGCAAATTATTTGGAGTTAAGAATTCGTAAAAAAAAATTTCTTTTTAAATCTAAGATTTTAAAATGTAATACAAGATTCCTTATAAGATTATCTACCTTTATCAAAAAAAAAATGTCTATAAGAAAGTCAAATTAAATTTTTATGAGCGTTTGAAATTCAAATTTTTACAACATTGGATATTCACTCGATTTCTCATGTAGCGATTTCCTTATTTTGTTGTAATTCAAAAACGAATAACTGTAGATACATGGAAATTTCACTAAATGTTTATATTAGCATTTACTATACCCAATACAGTTTTGAAAATATTTTGAATCTTTTTGGGCTGTTTACGGACATTTTAGGTTTTTAATTTTTTTAGTTTTTTTTTGTATAAATATCAATTAAGTTTTTTCTGTTGGGCCAAAAAGTGTAAAAATTTAATTCAAGGCTCCTGATATATTGTTACAATATCAGTTGAAAAATATTAAAAATACATATGCACAGTTTTTTTTATAAGCATTTAAAGATCGAATTTTGACAAAATTTATCAAAATTTTAGTTATTTTGTTGTGATTGAATAATATTATTTGTGGGTACTTGAAACTTCTACTTGTATCACGGTTTTTTTTATTAATAACGCGTTGTAAGTACCTAATGGATATTGTGATATGATTAATTTGGAATTTATTATAGGTACCTATTAAAGGTCAATTTTTTGTTTTATACCATAGATATGTATATAATATGTCTTATACATAGACCGACATACAGTCTCCGCTCAGAATCGTTTTTCTTATACAATGATATTATATCGTTGAATTCAAATTTAATATTATCCATTATAAAGTGACCCACTTGTAACCTACTGTACAGCAGAGCGACACCCACTTGCCCACCTTTTTATTTACTTATCTCCTCACTAAGTACTAACTGTTCAGAAATAAATAACTAATAAACAATAATCAAGTTTGTAATCATATGATATTGACATATGTTTGATGCTGTAAAAATAATAACATCTTAACAGCTCATCCATAAATTAGGATTGTTACAGAATCAAAATCGCACCAACCTAAGTCTCATAATTTTGTCACAGCTGATGTTTGTTTTTACTCGAAAAGTAACCGTTTACTTTTTCCTAATTTAATATACTCAGATGTGAGTGCGAGTACTCCGGTTCTTAGAATGTGGATATGGGTCGCGACACGTTGACATACACTGCGGTGTGTGCACACACACACTAATGTTCATTTACACTCGCATACATTGACATGGCCCAGTTGTTCTTGCCACATAATTTTCCTAATTTCTTCTTGCTTCTTAGAAAATAACAGAACCCCCTTAATTTATTTTGTACATTAAATATGAATAATAAGATCAATTAGTGACCGATCTATAAAGTTACATTTTACACAGCATAACACTTATTTTGCTGATATTTTCATATTTGAAAGACCTTTGGCGATCGGACAGTATGTTTTTATAAATATCTGATCAATTTTCTAAGGGTCTTACCTACTTCATTGATACCGTTTACAATTAACACAATTAATTATGATATTGGTAATAATATGGACAATTTTTAATATTATACTATTTATACTTATAATTTATAAAATATATTATGCTACTTAATTTAGAAATAATCAATGTATACATTTATATTCTCAAAAATGTAAAAACGTGCAAAATAAGTTTGTATATTTGTAATCCAGACTTTATTTATTTATAAATCAACGGGTATGAATCTAATTTATTTCATACTCTGGTATAATTCTGGTTATGCTAAAGAAAGTATAGAAAGTCGTAACACTCTTATAATTAGTCATAACCATCTGGTCCACTAATAAAAATTATAACTATTAAATTAACAATAACTAATTCGCGGTGGCAACAATATGACATACTATAAAATCCGTAATTGTTACTTGCACTTATACTCTATTAAAAATAAGAATTCCCACTCACTTGACGAAAATTTGTCTTGTTCGTTCATGTCTATTACCACCAGTTGGCGCTGATGTTTGCTATGCTGCTGCCGCAGGTGTACACGTAGCTAACAATAACACACCGTTTCACGAATAATTGTATACGACATAGGCATTGTGATTGGTGCAGAACAATAAGGTATAAGTACAAGATACATGGTACAGAAAAAAAATATACATTGTCATTATAACATAAGAGGTAATAATTATTACGATCTTGTCATTATGATCATCCGTATACACGGTGGCGTCTGTCAATAGTGACGGGTGACGGCATTTTTCGATAACTGGCGACCAATCACAGCGCAGCCAACACTTGCCAGGGGGTCTGACGGCTCAGTTGCGTGCAAAAGTGAATTTTTATTCTGAATAGAGTAGTGTTAATTATCCGTCTTTTGAAAACATTGGGTTTGAAATGTCCAATATCAAAAGTCACTGTCAATAGTCATTCTCCATTTTGTAATTTTATTATCATGACTGTTTGTTTTTAGATCAGTCTGGAAACCATTGTACTTGAAATTATACTGATTTTATTTTTACTATAATGTTTTTAGAAAATTTGGAAGTTGCCATGGGCGCAGCAGGTGTAGCCATTAATACAGAAGTGATAACAAGTGCTGGAGCAGACACCGCTGTACAGAATGCGTATACCGAACGCATTAGGACATTTGGCAGATCCGGACTAGATACTCATCCCGATTTTTGTCCTACCCGTTATCCGAATGCTTCAAAATTCTTTTACAATCATAATCATCCAAATTAAATATATTTATTCAAACAAAAAACAAACTCCAAAAACTTTATTTTAATTTATTTATATTTTCTTTAAACCTCTATAATAGACTGACATGTTAAAAACAAGAAAAATCTGATGCTATGTTTTTATTATGTTTTGGAATTTATTCATTCTCAGGTTATGCGTGAACGCAATTTGTACTTTTTATTATAATTTAATAAATACCCCTTTTAGGCTGACCATGGCATGTAATTTTTTTGGTTAGATTGTGTATTGCAAGGTGTTGGCAATTAATTAAACATCATTTAATGGATATTTATAATGCTTTTTACAACACTATATATACATAATATAATGTTATGTACCTATTATATGTAAAGTTAAATATTACTATTATTTGGATTGTTTGGAATGTCAAGTTAATTATTTCTTTAGATAATTTTATAATACTTTAAGATTAGATAACATATAATGATTAAATTATTCATTTAAAATAAGGAAACCTTACAGTTTCTAATTACCTAGATTAAATGATTATAGGTAAATTATTTTGGTTTTTAAATATTAATAATTAATATTGTATTTTTTAAAACAACTATATAATATTATATCAGCAGATTACTTTCAATTTTATTCACTTTTAACTGAATACAATATTGTGTTTTCATGTAGCACATTCATAGTTGTATAACTAAAAAAGTTAGTTGTAAGTTATTAAATATAACCAATAAACGCATTTAAATGTTCTCCAAAACAAACATATTTTATTCATTTTAGTAGTCTAAGTTTTCCGGTTACAGGCTTGAGTTCTTGATCAGATCCAAACAAAGCCAATGCAGTGAATGAGTTAGGTTCCACTTCAGTTAGACCTGCGTCGTGAACACAGAAAAATGGAATTTTTTGGATTTTTCCTTCTGAACACACTTTAATGAGTTCATTAGTGTTCTTTGCTGCAACAACAATTTTTCGACTTCTGAAAACAGTTTATACTATTAGTAATTAACACTAATAAATTGACTAAACAGTTAAAAACTGAAAGACCTAACTAATAAAATACTTTTTTGGAAAATAATATGAAATTGGGAGATCTTGTAGTTAAAGATAAAATATGAAATAAACGAATAATTTTGGTTTTGGTGAAATTTCACTGGTTGTTTATATTTGCATTTTCTATATACGATAAAATTAAAATATTTAGATTTGTTTTGAACTGTTTATTGACATTTTCAGTTTCCAATTTTATTAGTTGTTTTTTCTATGAATATCAATAAAACTTGTTTGTTGGGTAAAAAAGCTTGAAAAATTAAGACAAGGCTCCTACTATATTGTTACAATGACATGTAAAAAATATTAAAAATCCTTAGTCACAGTTTTTTTTATAAGCATTTAAAATACAAATCTTAACAAATACCGAAAATTAGCGAATTATTTTAGTTGAGAATTAGTAAGAATTTTTCTTTTTAAATCTAAGATTTAAAATGTAATACAAGTTTATTCATAAGTTTGTCTACCTTTATCAAAAATAATGTCTACAAGCAAATCAAATTGAGTGTTTGAAGTTTATATTTTTACAATATAAAATATTGGATATTCACTCGTTTTCTTATGTAGCGATTTTGTTATTTTGTTGTTATTCAATAACGTTTAACGAATAACTGTAGCTACATGAACATTTTACTGTATGCTTATATTTTAATTTTCTATACTCTATTCAAAATAAGACCGTGACCAGGCGGCCAAGTTGTGCGCGTCGCCATAGTGGGGACAGCGTCTGACCGCCGCCCGAAGTAAACTGGTCGCCGTCACGGTCTTATTTTGAATAGAGTATATACACCATAAAATTTTGAGGAAACATTTTTTTTCTTGTAATTTGAAGTAATGATTTTTATGTTTTTGTTTATAATGAAATTGGGAAGCTTTCACATGGGAAGTAATTAACACAAGTTACATAAACTATTACAAAACTTAAAAACTTTTAGTATTTATATTACATAATAATTAGTATTCGATTTTGAAAAAAAGTTAATTTTGGAGACGAGTTTAAGGTGCTTAGGTATCTAAAGAAGATAATTTGTAAATCATCTGCTGGTCCTATAAAATATAAATAGTGTTTCAATCTTACCCTTGTTCATTCCATGTAATTAAATCATAGCTTAGATCTGCACGTTCTTTCATCACTTCATACAAGCCCAATGCAGCATGTGCAGCCTACAATATAGGAAATCAAAAATCATAATTTTAAAAATGATTTTTCATTAAAGTATATTTCTTTTTAGGTATAAGTCTTCTTTAACGGAAACCCTTTTTGCTCACCCCAGAATACACGTTGAAGTATGCTGAATCCAAGAGTTTAAAAAAAATTTGTGGAAACTTACTGTTCAAAAGTTACGGCAAATCGTAGAAAATATTTTCACATTTGACAACAAATTGTCAATTTAAATTTATTAATTTGAAAAAATAAGTATCGTTATGAAAGGACCAAACTTTCATACTGCGTTATATTCATTAAAAAGTTACCACTATGCATGGATCTAATGAGAGTGAAAGCCATATATAGTTCTAGTCGGTAATATCGGCAATTTTTATATGCCGTAACTTTTGAACAGTAAGTTTCCAAAAAATTTTCAAGCTCTTGAATTCAGCATACTAAAATATGTATTTTGGGGCGAAAAAAAATAGTGTGGTAGGTTATATTATAATTTATAATATATTCAATTACTTGTGATGCAGTTTTCCCAATGCTCATGTTCAAGGCACTATTTATAACGATAACCATTTTATTAGCAACAGTAACATCTTCCCATAATTTATCCCCATCATCATCTACCACAGGTATATTTACACTAGATTCTGAACTTGTAGTCAACAGTTGTTCAACAATTAAGTTTTTAGGTACATCACCAGCATTATCTACAATCTTCAACATAGGTATTTAAAAATTAGAATTTAAGTACAAAATATGCTCAATATTAAAATATATTACTTGTAGCACTAGTGATTTGGAAAAGCCCATATCTGTTAGTTCTAGAACAAGTTTTTCTTTTTCCGCTGATCGCTGTTGAGGTTTGATTTTGTTTTCAGTGGTTTGGATTTTGCTTTCGGCATTTTCTGTTATATCATTTGTTCCGGTAGATTCCATTTTTAATAGTGTATAATGTAAGGAAAAAAATGGAGGAATTCGTTAAAAAAAACTAAACTGTATTTCAAACACTACATTTATGATTCATTATAGCTTGGTACCTACAGAAATAGTGAAATACCGGAATCGGAACAATATCACAGAAGTACAAAAAAATGTTATTACTTATTTTTTCATTTAAAATATGTCAACAGTTAGCTTCGAGTGTTTCGTCACTTAAAAGTTTAAGTTTTAATATATTTATTATTTAAAATAATATTAATTATGCAATTTTAGACACTCACATGGATAAACCACAGAATAGATTAAATAGGATAAACCGTGATGATAACAATAGTATCTGATATTCTGATATCTTTAATCATGGTAGCCACCATAGATAATAAATACATGGATAGGACGCCTCAAATTCATTACGTATTAGTTTTGCGACGAATGGATCTTCGCAGGAAAAAATTTTTTGTGTCCGTATATAATATTGCCTACATTTAGCCCCTTTTTTGCAGTTATCAAAATGTGACAACATTGATAAACCGATAACATAAGTTTCATTATAAATTATAATATTATATTTTATTATATTAATTATAATTAAAATAGTTAAATACATTAATAGTTAATAAGTTATTAAAAAACACAATATCGTAATTTAAAATTTAAAAATACACAATTCATTGAGAATACAGTATAAATGTACAACCTATTTACGTGGAACATTATTTTAAATTTTCAATCTTTAGCTTTAAAAGGTAAATTATATAATACAATTTAAAATTTGATAAATATTTTCAAAATTCGAACTAGTACCCAGATAGCAATTGTGTAATGATATTATTATTATTATAGTTCACAAATATTGTTATAAAAATAATGTTATTATAATAACATAACTATCCAACTAACATGATATTTTTACATTATAAATTATAATTAAAATAGTTAAATACATTAATAGTTAATAAATTTAATAATACACAATTCAAAAAAAAACACAATATTCATTATTCACTTACGATCGTCATTTAAAAGATACAATTCAACAATATATTAAGAAATTCATTTTCTTTTAGCGCTATAAGAATGATCGTGATATGAATGAACATTTAAAACACTTGTATTATTTAGTAAGGATTTTCTTATTATATTACCTTCACTCGACGACAATTGAAGATTTTCAAGTTTATTTTTTTATTTTTAGTAAAGAAACGTGGTTGTTTTTCAATATTCTTTTTATGTTGATTGTATTTATATCTTCTCAGTGCCGGCCCTAGGGGGGGGGGGGCAAGCGGTGCGACCGCCCCGGGCCCCGCGCATGGCGGGCTTGTTACGAATATCATTTTTTCTATAAACAAACATAATTATATTGTCCCCGTAGCAGTAATACGGATATCGCGACCCGTGTTGTTTTCTTAGGAAACTGTTTGTTATCGACGAATACCAATTAGAATAAGTATGTGTAGGTACTATGTCTATATTTTAATATCTTACCTTGATTGAGGGGTGGAAATCCAAAACGTACTATTGCCAAAATTGGCAAAAACGAGTTAGATATCGAATCTTATAAAAAAAAACGCCGAAAAATCGATTGGTGTTGTCAGAATAGACCAAAACGTACTATTTACAGGTCAAATCAGCTGTTAAAAATGACTGCTTAAGGGGATTGGAAGCGACGATTTTCTGTCTTTATCTAACACACGTGCAACATAGGATTATAGACGTGTTCTATGTCCAACGTACCGATTAATCTAATGAAGCGATAAGAATTCTGAAAACAGATTTGAATTTGTCGTCAAGTCTACTTGAGATCGACTTTCCCACATTTTTGATTTTTTGATTTAAACTTCTCCAAAAGTTGAAATTTGTAAATTTTTTAAGTACTTTTTATAATATATCATTTTTATGATTTTGGTGGGACAATATCAAAAATGTGGGAAAGTCGATCTCAAGTAGACTTGACGACAAATTCAAATCTGTTTTCAGAATTCTTATCGCTTCATTAGATTAATCGGTACGTTGGACATAGAACACGTCTATAATCCTATGTTCCACGTGTGTTAGATAAAGACAGAAAATCGCCGCTTCCAATCCCCTTAATCCAAAACGAACCTTTTCCGTGCATAAAAATTATATTTAGATAATCTAAACGTACTTTTTCCAGTTTTACGCCAAAACGTACTATTGCCAATGTTAAAATAATAGGCACCAATCATTAACTATACCAAAACGAACTATTTTCGTAAATTTTTCCAAAACGTACTTTTTTTTATGTTATGTCAAAACGTACTACTGCCCGTATTGTAGGTATAGCGAAATAAAATAGTTAATCCAAAACGTACTAGAATATAATTTATAATTTATAATATTCACAATCATTAAGTTTGAAATTAAATTAAAAATATAATCCTAGATTATTAAACACATTTGAGTCGTTTTTCATAGAAATAATATATTATTAAATAATTTAAAAAATCTTCCTTGTCTTCAAAATTACTTTTTTATTTATAAACGGTTTGTTCATATTGAAACAATAAATAAGAAATTAATAATATTTTTATTTTGGAAAAAGCACATTTTGGAGTATATTTTAATATTTTATTAGGTTTTCCAAAATTAACTATTTCCATTAAATTTTCCAAAACGTACTATTTCCATTAAATTAATGGAAAAGGTACGTTTTGGATTATTTTACATTTTTATATGACAAAAAAATATGTATCTAGATGTAGAATCATTAAAGTCATTCTATCTAAATTTTAAAAACAATACTGATAGGTAATATTATTTTCACAGGCAATTTAAAAAAGTCCCTAAAAAATAAAATAAATGTGTATATTGTATAATAATTAATAAATTAACATATACAGCCATTGGCCATATGGGGCCCCGCGAAATTCTGCACCGGGCCCCGAAAACCATCGGGCCGGCACTGTATCTTCTGTTTGCATAGGTTTTGATTCGTTTGTAAGTAATTCAATAATTTTATTGCAATGTTTTAAAATATGTTTTTTTGTGTACTGTAATAATAATAATATCATTACACAATTGCTATCTGGGTATTAGTTCGAATTTCGAATTTCAAATTTCAAATTTTATTATATAATTTAACTTTTATAGCTAAAGATTGAAAATTTAAAACAATGTTCCACGTAAATAGATTGTACATTTATACTGTATTCTCAATGAATTGTGTATTTTTAAATTTTAAATTACGATATTGCGTTTTTTAATAACTTATTAACTATTAATGTATTTAACTATTTTAATTATAATTAATATAATAAAATATAATATTATAATTTATAATGAAAATTATGTTATCGATTTATCAATGTTATCACATTTTGATAACTGCAAAAAAGGGGCTAAATGTAGGCAATATTATATACGGACACAAAAAATTTTTTTCCTGCGAAGATCCATTCGTGTTTTGTGGTCCAACATAGATAAGAAATTGAGGCGATTTGTTTACATTTTTTGTTGACAGTCGATACTCCATATAGATATACTTTATTTGGCCTCAATTATTCCCCTGGAAGACCGCTGATAAGACCATTATGTCCTATCCATATCTTTATTATCTATGGTAGCCACGGACTAAGATATACAGGACTGGACACTACAAGGTCGGAGGGTGTGAGGGGTTGACCACGAAATGTAGTACAACAGGCGGAGTTCGGGGGGATATTTTCCTTTTAGCATTACTAGCGCTGTCTTAGTGGATACTTATGGAACTAGAACACATCATACAAATTTCTAGTTCCATAAGTATCCACTAAGACGGCGGTAGTAATGCTAAAAGGAAAATATCCCCCCGAACTCCGCCTGTTGTACTACATTTCGTAACCACAATATTCATCTCGTGTCCAGTCCTGTATATCTTAGTCCGTGATGGTAGCAATCATATCACTATCACAGAATAATATTCTGTGATCATATCATAGACCTATAAACTAATGGACAGCGCGTAGAGAGAGAGGTCACAGGTACGATATACAGTATTAGCACAGAACAATAGCTGGTATTAGTTTCGTACGTCTATGATTTCTCCCATTATGTTTTTTCTCTCTTCCTCTTAAATGATTCCACCAAGATTTCCCCAATATGTTCTTTCTCACTCAGACTATATTGGCGCCACTCAGTGTTGGCTGGGTGGTGAGGGAGGCGCAGTCCATTAGTTTATTATAGGTCTATGGTAGCAATAGGTGGTATATCCCATGGAAATTCTGGAGCGGCAAACGTTGAAAACGTAGGAATTCGTGAACGCTTGGTTTAGTGCGGGATTTTGTTTAACCGTGGACCGTGGTCGTGGTGTACGACATAAAAATAATACATACAATGGAAAGTGAATTACATGACAAAATAATGTTAAATATATATTATGTTTAACTATTTGGCAGGACGTAGAAGTATACTTAAATTGGAGGTACCTTTAAATAGGAGGTCAATTTTTTTTTTTTTTTTTATTAGCCTTTAGTAAAAAATTATAATAGCTCGACAGTTAATCCAGATAATACAGATAAAATTATACAGAAAATAAAGACTTATATAAATAAAAACAAGAAAAGATTGATAACAAGAAAAAGTAATATAAATTAGGTGATAAAAAACTAGATAATGTAACCACCTTAAATAGCAAAACCAGCTTCCAAAAGGAAGTTAATTATTTTTACAATGACCATTTCAGTCTTAGTATTAAGTATAGAAGGGAGAGTTGGAGGAATGTTTAGAGACTTTATATAGTTAATCAAGGACGTACGCTTGGTATATAATGAGGGACAGTCGAATAATAAGTGAGAGATGTCAGAGACGCTTTCGGTTGAGTGTAAGGTACAGAGTGGAGAATGGTTAAGACCAAGTTTATAAGCATGTTCTGGAAGAAGCGAGTGGCCCACACGGAGTCGGTTAAAGCGGACAATGGTAAAGCTAGGTTATAAAACCAAGTTTTTTATTAGATACACTGGGGACAATGGTTTTGTATTTTTATGCAAAGTGGGTTGGCA